ACTGGAATGTTTCAGGGCGGCAATACTCCGAGGGGAAGATTAAAAAGGAGGGGTGCAGTTAGTTGAACCTTAACATACATTTGGCTTAATTAAACACGAAAAGAAGACCCTATTGTTAGTTACCTTTCCAGAGGTGGATAACCCTCAAACGCACATGAGGCATAATGCTGTCTCCACTTGTGAACAAATGGACGAATCAATGCTGGATTTGTTTTCTCTGACTCCTCATTCGTGGAACCTTCTCTATACCAGTGTTGTATTTCCGTGTAGAGGGGATTTGTCGCGGCAGGTTCCAAAAAATTTTCTAGTTCCTCTTCATAGATCACCATCGTCATATGACTTAGTATGGACAGGCACTGAGAATCCTCAGAATACTTTACACTCCTCTTCCTGCCTACTATCAAGTTTTTTCTTTCCTCTTTGACACTTTTCACCTCAAGATCTAGATCTCTCCAGTCCTTCCAAATATCACGACACTCGCGGAGAACACCGCCATCTTGAAACTTTAAAATACTTTCGTCGCTGTCAAAATTCTTCTCTAACAATTCAATGCAGTCGATCAAAGTCGGCCCCTGACAGTGCTAAATTATACCAAATATTCCACAAGAAGTCTACATCAGCAGGGACATCAGGATTTATCACACTGGCGATTTCTAAGAGCACAGCATCACGAGCTGTCACCGACGGATCATAGTCGTTCAAATGGAAACTTAAACTCTTCGGACGTTCGCGTGGTTTCCTTAGAGATAGCTCAGACAAACTACATAGGAAATTCCTAACATCACCGCATGCCAAAAGCAACACGTCTACATGTTGTTCTGCCGATGTGCCCAACAGCTCCGTGATATCTCGGGCTGGCGTGTTTCCCATTGCGTACGTGTATAAACCTTCTGGGTAAAGAGCTATTCCCATCGGATTATGAAAACTCAGGTTAGGAACACCTTGCTTGTTGTATTTCGTCATGTTGAAAAAATAAGCAAGCAAGAAAATTGCGACAATTTCCCTCAATATAATAGTCTAGGAATATAATATTCTAGGATGAGCCTCACGAATTTCAGTTCTGAGAACCATGGACACTCATCTAATTCTGAGAATCCTGGCCGCAAGAGACCTGGATTTGACAAAAATATTGCCGGAAGTTAGATTAGGCATATGGTTT